GGAAGGAAAAGGAGAGGGGACGGAAGAGAAGTGGAAGAAAGAGAGAAGGGAGGCACAGGAGAGAGGAAACACAAGGAGGAGGCAGGAAAGGAAAGAAGGAAAGACGAGACAGGATGGAGGGAGAGAAGGCAGAAGGGGAAAACAGGAAATGGAAGGAGGAGGGAAGGAGGCGTGATAGAAGAAGTGGAGGGAGATGTAGAGGGAGGGCCGAGAGGGAGGGGGTTAAGAGATTGTAAGGGTCGCTTACGGCCAGGTCGCGAGGAGATGGGGTAAAGAAAGTGTAAAGGGTTCGGGAACGCTCCCTGAAAAAGCGCCAACACATGTAGGATAGGGAAAAGGTAGAGAGAGGAGTTGGAGAGCTGAGAGGTTTGGGAACGTTCCTTATAAAACGCCTTGTATCTGAAAGGAAACAATAAACCACATACATACATACATAATAATATATTTTTCTAACAGAGCAATAATGCTGTTAAACCTAACATAAAAAAGTCAACATTAACATTCTTATTGTATAGTAAGGTTATGTTCTACTAAACAAAATAAGCATTTAAAATTATTTTAAGTTTAAAAATTCTTTATATTATTCATATTTTTTAAAACTCTGGGTTTTTTGAAACTCAACTATATATATATATATATATATTGGTTAAGACGGGGAAGGGAAGGAGAGGAAACAGGGGAGAAAAGGGGGGTAGACAGAAGGAGAAGGTTAGTATGGAGAGGAGTAGAGGGCAAAGACAGGGAGGAAAGGTTATGGAGGATCAGGAGAGCGGTAAAAAATACAATAGGTAGGGACATAGAAATAGGGGAGATAGTAGAGAGGATAGGTGAGAGAGGAAGGGTAGTGGCGATCACGGAGGTAGGGGAAGAGGAAGATAGGGAGGAGATGTTAACGAAGGCGGACTTTTTAAGAGAGAAATGGGGGCTAAAAGTAGACGAGGACCTAAGTATGGAAGAGAGGAGGATAAGGTGGAAGATGGTGGAAAAGGCAAGAGTAGAGAGAAGCAGGGGGAGAAGGGTGAGGGTGGAGAACAGGAGAATGTGGGTGGACGGGAGAGAATGGATATGGGAAAAGGGGGCAGGAGAGGGAGAAGGAGAGTGGAGAATCGGAGAGAGGGAGGGGAAAGGGAGGGGAGGAAAAGATGTGAATTAAGATATGGATGTTGTAGGTAGGAAGAGGAAGAAGGAGTGAGACAGGAGTAAAAGAGGAAAGGATGCAGGAAGGAGAATGACTAAAGAGGAGCGAGAATGGGAGGACGGAGGACGAGACAGAAGAAGGTTGGAAAGTGGAACAGGAGGAGCGAGAAAAGGAGGACGGAGGACGAGGAAGAGAAAGAACGAGAGAGGAGAAGGAGAAAGAAGAAAGGTCAGGGAATGGGAGAGACAACGGAACGGGAAGGGCGGGAGGAGAGGCAGGAGGGGTGGGTCGAGGGGAGGGAGGGAAAAAAGTGTGTATAGGTCGCTTATGGCCAGGTCGCGGAGGGAAAAGAAAGTTGTAAAGGGTTCGGGAACGCTCCCTGGAAAAGCGCCAGGTTATGAGAGAGAGGTTAAAAAAGGTTTGGGCACGTTCCTTTAAAAAACGCCTTGTAACCCCAAGGGGAATCAATAAATATTACATTACATATATATTGGTTAAAAATAATTAGTAAGGTGTTTGTGGCAAATGGTCGGTCGGGGTAATGAGACGAATTTATGTCGGGGTATCCCGACAAACGACATTCTGACGTTTTGAAGCGTCTAGCGTCTTATTGCGTCATACAATCGGCAATGTTATTGCATTTTTTGTTGTTTTGATTGGTTTTACATATTTTCTTGTGTTTTTTTGTGGATTAGCATTGATTTTTGGTAAAAATGGTCCGCAAATATAAGAGAAAGTCTGAACCTCGCGATATGAACAATATGTTTGCGGCTCTCCAAGCTATTAAAGATGGAATGTCAACGAATGCCGCTGCAAAACAACATGGTATACCAGAGCCAACATTACGACGTCATAAAAACATCAATATGGTTCAAAATGATGACACGGTTGGTGTGCCAATGGAAATTGAAAACGATCAAACGGAAACAAGTTCAACATCGACTGCACCAGATCCACAGCCATCAACATCGAACAGCAGCAAATCCAAAGCCAATCAAATTGAAGGATGATTTAATTATTAAAAAACCTGGTCCTTCAACGGTATGCACCTTGGAATTTACCTGTTTTTTCACATTTCCAATTAAATTTGATTTTTTCAGATCTCTGTGGAAGAAGAAGCAGCAATCGAAGACTATATGTTGCACGCGTCTGACATTTATTTTGGTGTAACAGCGCGCGAAGGATGTGAATTGGCTTACCGATTTGCAATGGAATTGAAGAAAAAAATTCCAACTAATTGGGGTACAAACGAAATAGCTGGATCTGATTGGTTTGAGGGTTTCATGCGCCGATATCCAAAACTATCACTTAGAAAACCTGAAGCAACAAGCATGGCCCGTGCAGCTGCATTTAATCGTACAAATGTTGATTTGTTTTTCAATTTATACGAGAAAGTAATCAAAAATATTTTGTTTGAACCACACAAGATGTGGAATATTGATGAAACTGGTTTAACAAACGTGCACAAGCCGAATCGTGTCATCAGTCGCCGTACCCGAAAACAAGTTGGCGCTATTACATCTGCTGAACGTGGGACCACTGTGTCGATGTGCTTAGCCGTAAACGTAGCTGGCGTGAAAGCTCCACCTTACCTCGTATTTCCACGTACAAACTTTCAATCATATTTTTTGAATGGCGGACCACCTGGTGCATGTGGAGGAGCAAATCCCACTGGTTTCATGAATAGTGAAAACTTTTTGGATTTCATCCACAAATTCCGTGCTCATGTGAACTGTTCGAAAGACAACCCGATTCTGCTTCTTTTGGATAACCATGTGTCACATCGCACATTGGATGTATTGAAATACTGCCGTGAAAATGGTGTACATGTCTTGTCCTTCCCACATACAAGCCATCGTTTGCAGCCTTTAGATGTAAGCGTTTTTTTTCCGTTTAAAAATGCTGCGAATCAGATGTGTGCCGATTGGGTGACATCACATCCAGGCCGTCCAATGCAAATTTTTGACTTGCCACCAATTTTTCATCGAGCTTTGCAAATTGGAGCCACCGTAGTTAATATTCAATCGGGATTCCGAGGCTCAGGTGTCTATCCATTTGATCGGCATATTTTCCAAGATATTGACTTTATGCCAAGTTCAACAACCGACCGCCCGTACACGCTTGCCGAAATATTTCCGGACAATAACATTCCGATTTCGGCTGATGTTGAACTTTCGCACAATCGATCTCAACAAAGTATTGATAATGATGATGAAGAAAATGATGACGAGCACATGGATATTGATACGTTGTAAGAGAAATTGCCCCTGAGCACATCAACACCTCAAAGTTCTATTAAAGACCTATCGAGCACATCAACACCTCAAAATCTATCAAACGTCCTGGGAACGATTAAGCCATTTCCAAAGGCACCAGCACGCAAGGCCACCAAAAGAGGTCGAAAGCCGCAAAAATCGGCTGTCCTGACTTCTGATGAATCATTGCAATTGAGGCAGAGCACAACACACGTGAGGCAAAAAAGCAAGCCACAGAAGTAAGAAAAGAAGCTTCAGCTGCAAAAAAGCAAGCCGCTGCTCAAAAGAAGATCGACACTGCTGTTAAGAAAGCACTAAAGGAGAAAGAAAAACAAGCAGCGAAAGATAAACAAGCAACGAAGAAGAAACCATCAGCTCAGCCTCAACGTATCAATCCACGCCGAAAGATAGTTTCCAGTGTGAGCTACGTTGAGAAACCGGATTCGGACTTATCAGATACCGAATAAACATTAAGAAAATGTGCCTTCTGAGATTTCACCATTTCAACTATTTTGATTTTTTCCAACAATTTTCATATTTTTTCTTCACGACAATTTCAATAAAAATCAACATAAAAACATAAACAATCATGTTAGCATTCATATATTTGGTATATTTGAGGTAAAAATCAGCGAAATATACGAAAAATAGCAATTCGTCGGATTACCCCAGTGGGGTCGTCGTATTATCCCGAGAATCGTGTGGTCAAAAAATCGATCATAACTTTTTACAGGTTGACCACAGACCATAAGTTTATTCCACCGAAAGATAGCTCTACTAAACAGCTTTCAAACGATATATAACATGATCTGAAATATGAAGTGTGTGAGGAGCTATCAGCTCCAATGAAAAACCTCGTCGGAATACCCCGGCCTCCCCTACCGGGCAATTAGTCGAATATTAACTCGATACAACGATCGAGATTAAACAGCGTGACCATGATGGCATCGGTCATCGCTAGAAAGACGTTGAACGTTTCAAGACGTACAAGTTTAGTGTTATTAAACACACTAAATCGTACAGTCGCCAGTCCAACAGTAAAATAATTTGGGATATCCTCGCGATGATTTTGAAGACAGTTTTTTTGGATGTTCAAGCATTGTTCGTAGAGTTCCTTCCAGATTTCCAGAAACAATGTTAACTCGTCTCCGATTATCTCCAATCCTAACCTCGATATAACTTGGCTGTCCAACGTTGATACCGATTGCCAGATATTTGTATCCCGTAGCTGTCAATGCGTATCTTCTGCTTAGAATACGTATCGTACGACGCGCGGGTACAACGCTATAGAAAAGATTGTGAAAAATATGTTAAGGCAGGATACCACCTTTGACTGCGATTTTGGAGGCGTTCTTCATGAATTTTTTTTGCATACAAAGAGTGCCCAGAAACAAAATCGGTTTTAGTCATTTATTAATGTAACTTTAATCTGTAATTGCAAACTGAAAAAGTTACAAATAATCTCTTGTAGGTGGCGCCAAAATACATTCCTTTGTGGCGACTAACGAGTTTCCCCTCTAGACTGTATGTGGTCTGAGGCCGTTGGCGGCGCTAGCGAAGATGAGCACTGGTGTTCACACTCTCGTTTGTAGACTCGTGCTGAGCAGTCGTGTGTCGTAGCGTACGAGATCCACCATCTTGGTCTCGTGCGCTTGTGTTCAATAAAATTCCTGTTTTATTAATTGTGAGATACTTGTCACCGCCCTAACGAGAACCTTGATCCTCTGGCGTAGAAGTACGTGGGAGCTTAGCCGGAGATCTTATTGAGAGATCGCAGACCAAATCCCCACATTGGTGACCCCGACGTGATCGGTGAACAAGCACCGACACGTTCGCACGGGCGGAAGACCAGGACACGCACGACGAGAGTCATCGCCGGCTACCCGCAGAGGACAGCGGAGAACGAGCCGGACAGCAGCCACGCTCATCCCGGATTCAAGGCCCGGGTGAGCACATCGGCGGAATCTCTCCCGCCGGACGAGCCCATTTTTGGGCCAACGTTCTTTCGGCGGACGAGGCCATTTTGGCGCGCCAAGCAGCCCGACAGCCATTACGCGGTCATCTCGGCGACGCGCATTCCCGCGCAGGCATCCCGGCAGCCGCTCGCCATTAGCGCAGGCGCGCACGGGACCACATCGGCGCGCAATCCCCGCGCGCGAGACCATACCGGCAGGGTGCGACTACCCCGCGCACTGCATCCCCGACGAGCGCATCCGGCGTGTACCGTCATCCGACGGGAACGCGGTCAGCGCCGAGCAACGCCGACGGACGACTTCTTCAGCCCGGACTCTCCTTCCTCCCTGAGGGACGTCATCACTGCCGGATCATCGAGATCATCGCGGCCCGGACTCTACCTCCTTCGAGGGACGTCGCCGCTCCCAGATCGTCGAGATCATCGCGGCATAATGTTTATCCGGTACCTTCTTTTGTTTGTCGGTCGTGGGTCGGAATTTTTTTGTTTTTTTGCGACAGTCGCGATTCGGGACGCGCGCTTCAACCCGTTCGACCTTCTCACCGCGCGTCTCGATTGTTTTCGAGATAATAACCCGCGTTGCGTATTTTTTAGTTTTTCTTTCGGTCTCAGATCTATACACGCGTTCTAGCGTCGTTTATTGCCGTTGTCGTTCTCTTGTCGGTTCATTGCTATTGCCGTGTATTGCTATCGTTGGCACATCGTCCATAACATGGCCGAAGACAGCACCGCGCACGTAGCAGCCTACCGGGCGCCTAAGATTCCGCCCTTTTGGCGACAGGCGCCCGAGGCATGGTTCGTACAGATAGAAGCCTCATTTAGAAACGCGAGCATCACCGTCGACCGTACCAAGGTCGATTACCTCCTTACCGGCATCGACGCGGAAACCATAGCGCACGTATTAGACTTAATTACGGCGGACCCACCGCCCGAAAATCTCTACAAGGCGCTCAAGGACCGGATCCTCGCAACGTTCGCGGTCTCACCGGAGGCCCGCTTACGGCAGCTTTTCAAAGGTCAGGTTCAGGGGGAACGAGGCCCTCGCATTTATTGAACCATATGAAACAGCTCAACGGCGGCCAATGCAGCGACGCGGTTTTGAAGTCGTTATTTATCGAACTTTTGCCCGATGCCCATAAGGCAATTATTGTCGCGGCAAACGAGCCGGACTTACAAAAATTGGCGGAACTCGCCGACAAGCTCGCGGACATCAATAGTCCCGGCACCGCACTCGCGGTTGTGACCTCGGCTTCTAAGCTGAAGAGCGCGCGGGCAAAGGCCCCGTTGAGTGTCGATGAACGGGTTAATAGACTCACAAGACAGCTCCAGTCCTTGAGCACTGCGGTGGAGAAAATTCGCCGAGACCGTACCCCCTCCCGTAAGCGTACCTCTAACAATAAGCGTGGTGGTGCAGCAGCGAAGCCCGATAAAACTGCGGATTACTGCTACATCCACCGTAAATATGGAAAAAAGGCCACGTCGTGCCGCAAGCCCTGCACTTGGAAGGACGACGCGGACTCGGAAAACTAAATCGCTCTCCCCGCGTGGAGGCGGTCGGGGATATCGGGCACACTCAAAACCGTCTACACGTTTATGACCGTACCACCGGTCAGCGTTTTCTGGTTGATACGGGCGCGGAGATATCAATTCTTCCAGCGTCAATACGCGACAGGAGAGTTCCTTCTGAGCTTAAACTGTTCGCCGCGAATAATACGGTGATTGATACGTTCGGCGAGCGTCGTCTTACTTTGGACTTGGGCTTGCGGCGTCCAATCGTTTGGAATTTCCGTATCGCAAACGTGCCTTTTGCAATCCTCGGTGCCGATGCATTGGCACATTATAAATTACTTGTAAACTTGCATAAGCGCCGGTTGGTCGACAGTGTGACCTCACTCTCGACCTCCGGGCGCGTACTCCCAGTACCGGAGATAAAAATCTCAACAGTCGACAAGACATCTAAATTTTCGGACATCCTCTCGGGTTTCCCCGAAATTACTGGTTCCGTCCGTCCGGTTTCGCTTGCCGCATGTGTTGTCGAGCACCATATCGAGACCTCAGGCTCTCCCGTCGCGGAGCGGCCACGGCGGCTACCGCCCGACAGACTCAAAGCGGCTAAGGCCGAAATCAAGCGGTTGATGGAGTTGGGCATTTGTAGGCCATCCAACAGCCCTTGGGCCAGCCCTATACACCTTGTCCGCAAGGGCAATGGTGATTGGCGGTTGTGCGGCGACTACCGTCGGCTCAACGCAGCAACTATACCGGACAAATACCCAATCCCGTATCTGCATGATTTTACATGCAATCTGCTGGGAAAAAAAGGTATTCTCCTCGCTTGACTTATTCAAGGCATACCACCAAATTCCGATGGCTAAGGCCGACATTCCTAAAACGGCTGTCATCACTCCTTTCGGCCTGTTCGAATTTGTATCCATGACTTTCGGCTTACGGAATGCCGCTCAAACATTTCAACGGTACATCCATCACGCTCTTAAAGATCTGGACTTCGCCTTTGCGTACATTGACGATATTCTTATCGCTTCCTCATCTGAAGAGGAGCATAAGAAGCATCTCCACGCAGTCTTCCAAAAACTCAAAGAGCACGGGTTAGTAATCAACCCCGCTAAGTGCATCTTTGGGGTTAGCGAGTTGACCTTCTTAGGTCACCATGTAAATACTGACGGCATCAAGCCATCCCCAGAGAAAGTGGCGGCTATCCAAAACTTTCCCAAGCCGCGCACTGTCGCGGAACTGCGTCGCTTCCTCGGCGCTGTAAATTTTTACAGGCGTAGCCTTAGGCACGCCGCTCGTGTCCAGGCCCCGTTGCACACGTATCTTATGGATTCCCGTAAGAATGATAAACGGGAAATTGCCTGGACCCTCGAGGCAGAAACCGCGTTTGCTAGGGCCAAGTCCGACCTGGCTAACGCTGCGTTGCTAGCTCACCCGTCCAATACGGCGGACACCCGAGTGGTGTCAGACGCCTCGGATTTGTCTATGGGGGGCGTCCTCGAGCAACGGGGCCCTAAAGGTTGGGAACCTTTGGCGTTTTTCTCTCGGAAGTTTACGCCAGCCCAGAGAAACTATAGTGCGTACGACCGCGAACTGACCGCAATATACGAATCAATCAAGTTCTTCCGTCACTTCCTCGAAGGTCGGAATTTCAAGGTCCTCACCGACCATAAACCTTTGATCTACGCTTTCCGGCAAAGGTCTGAGAAAGCATCTCCTCGGCAGTTGCGTCAGTTATCGTTTATAGCGCAATTTACCACCGCATTTGAACACCTGGCTGGTGCAGATAACGTGGTGGCAGACAACCTGTCTCGTATTGAGGCCCTCCGCCTCCCGGTCGAGTTCGAATTGGTCGATCTCGCCGAAAGGCAAAGGGATGACGAGGACTAAAACATATTTTAGTATCAAATTCCTCTTCCCTAAAATTAAAAAAATTTGTTTGGGGTTCCTCTAACTCAGAGCTCTATTGCGAATTATCAGGGGAGTCAATCCGCCCCTATATTCCAGCATCTCTCAGGAAGCAGGTCTTTGACCTCTTCCATAACCCCGCGCATCCTAATGCGAAAGTGACCGACCGTGTCATCAGACAACGGTATATTTGGCCCAACCTGCATCGCGATGTTGCAAACTGGGCAGCAAATTGTACGGATTGTCAGCAGTGCAAGGTATCGCGTCACGTTACTCTCGAGACTGCTCAATTTTCTGCCCCCGACGGGCGTTTTGACCATGTCCATATGGACATTGTGGGGCCATTACAACCGTGTAGCGGATTCAGCTACTGCCTGACAATTATTGACCGTTTTTCTAGGTGGCCTGAGGCGATCCCTCTGTCCGAAATTACAGCCAAGAGCGTAGCCAAGGCTTTTTACAATAATTGGATCGCTCGATTCGGCGCACCTAGAGTCCTTACGACAGACCAGGGCGTTCAGTTCAAAGCCCAGCTCTTCGCAGCTCTGCTCCAGCTGATCGGGTGCAAACGCATCCGCACAACGGCATACCACCCTGCCTCTAATGGCATGGTTGAACGCTGGCACCGCACCTTCAAGGCAGCGATTATGTGCCATAACGCACCAAATTGGTTGGACGTCCTTCCGACGGTCCTTCTAGGTCTGCGTACGCATGTACGTCTTGATACGAAGGCTTCTCCGGCCGAGTTTCTGTACGGCACGGTACTGCGAATCCCGGGGGAATTTTTCCTCCAAGAGGACTTCACCCCGGATCCTCAGATATTCGTTGACGACTTCCGACAGCACATGCGCCAAGTGAAGCCGGTACCGGTCGTGCACCACCACAAAAGGCGCGCATTTAGGTTCAAGGAACTGTCGGCCTGCACGCACGTTTTCCTTCGTAAGGATTGCGTGAAGAAGCCCTTAGAGCGACCATATACCGGTCCCTATAGAGTGCTCGAGCGTGTCACCGACCAAGTTTACTCTATCGAGGTCAATGGCAGACCCATGTCTGTTTCCGTCGAGCGTCTCAAACCCGCGCATTTCGTTCCGGACGACGTTCCGATTTCCGACGTTCCGCCCACGACCGACCAAACGACCAAGCCGTCCACAGCGTCAAGCCTTCCGCAAGGCTCGCTTAAAACCTATGCGGGACCCAGAAAACGCGTTAGAATAGTGCAATAGCGACCTTTGTAAGCGCTCGTGCGCTAGTCTGAAATGCAGGCACACGCACGCAACGCGTCCTCGGTTCAAACATGTACAAATTTTATTAATAGCGTTAAAATTTCCTTTCTTTTCCTAGGTCTTAGTCTTAAGCATCACCATTATATTATTTTTGTTGGCGTTAAGCCGTGTGATACATCCGCGTACACCTGTGATATAAGCAGTATTACAGTATTTTCGTTGACATTAAGCAGCGTGATACATCCTGCGTACACCTGTGATATTAAGCAGTAATAGTTATACTAGCGTAAGCCACTCGGCATCCTGCGCATTTCTAGCACCTAAGCAACAAAATTGTGAAACTTCGCGTAACGCGAATTCTGTTCTCTCCATCGTTAACACTCGGGGGGGGAGTATGTGGCGACTAACGAGTTTCCCCTCTAGACTGTATGTGGTCTGAGGCCGTTGGCGGCGCTAGCGAAGATGAGCACTGGTGTTCACACTCTCGTTTGTAGACTCGTGCTGAGCAGTCGTGTGTCGTAGCGTACGAGATCCACCATCTTGGTCTCGTGCGCTTGTGTTCAATAAAGTTCCTGTTTTATTAATTGTGAGATACTTGTCACCGCCCTAACGAGAACCTTGATCCTCTGGCGTAGAAGTACGTGGGAGCTTAGCCGGAGATCTTATTGAGAGATCGCAGACCAAATCCCCACACCTTTGGAGGAACACCGTTAGACGGCGTGTCAAATTCCGCTCTGTACGTGGTCCTAGAAAAAAAACCAAAGAATGTTCCTATTAACAACAATATTTTCTAATGCTGTACGTAGGGATTTTACGAAATTTCGATTTTTAAGAAAATGACGGTCATTTTAACAAAAAGGTCAATTTTTTAGGGTAAACCTTTTCGTTAAAATGACCGCCATTTTCTTAAAAATCGAAATTTCGTAAAATCCCTACGTACAGCATTAAAAAATATTGTTGTTAATAGGAACATTCTTTGGTTTTTTTTCTAGGAGCCACGTACAGAGCGGAATTTGACACGCCGTCTAACAG